GTTCACACTGATTATTGTTGATTTCTATCGTTTCCAATCGGTTCTTTTTGATTTCTTTTACTCTCTGATGATTCCTGTTGATTCCTACTGATTCCGAGTGATTCCTAATCATTTCTTTTGAATGTTGTTGATTTCTGGTGATTCCCACTGATTCCTGTGAATTCCGATTGATTCCTATTAATTTCTATTGATGACTATTGATTCCTGTTGATTCCTGTTGATTGTTATTGATGCGCATTGCTCGAAGAGAAGAGGGAAAGAGAGAGAGAGAGAGGAAGAGAGAGAGAGAGAGAGCGAGAGACCGGGATGGAGGAGGAGGGGGCAATGTTCTTCGCGCGAATGTCCTTTGTTTTTGAGAGATTCGCACGGGTTATTGGTTCTCCGTTGGACGGGATTGGTTTATGATTGCAGTCGAGTAAGATTATTGATTCTCATTGACCCTCATTGATCGAAAATGATTATTATTGATTCCTATCGATTCCGAGTGCTTCATATGGTTTACATGTGGTCCCCATTGAACCCAAGTGATTCTTATTGGTTACTATGCTGTCCTATTGGCTCCTACTGATTCCGATTGATTCATGTTAACTCATTGATTCGTACTGCTTTCTATTGATTATCACTCCTTCTTATTGACTCCTATTGCGACGTATTGATTCTGGTCGATTCCAATCGATCCCGAGTAATTCCGACTGGTTCACATTGCTTCTTGTTGATACTTGATGATTCCCGTTGATTAGGAGTGGTTCCGAATGATTCCGAGTGAGTCTGAGTCATTCCTGTGGGTTTCTAGCGATTCTTATGGATCCTGGCCGATTCCGATTGATTCCTCATGATTCTTACTGATTCAAATCGGTTCTGATGTATTCGTGTTGTTGAAGAAAGGAGAGAGAGAGAGAGAGAGAGAGAGAGAGCAAGGATTATTGGTGTCCCGTTGCACCTGCTTGGCAGTGGCAGCCGCAGGTTCCCCTACTGCTGGGCCACGGACCTTTTGAAACGGCCAAGAAAAAGTTGCGAGACGACCCCTGAAAACCAGAGTCAGAGGGCTTTTGATTTTTTTGTGTTTGGGAGGAGCAGGAGGAGGAGGAGGAGGAGGAGGAGGAGGAGGAGGAGGAGGAGGAGGAGGAAGAGGGGAGGAGGAGGAGGGAGGAGGAGGGAGGAGGAGAGGAGGAGGGAGGAGGAGGCGGAGGAGGAGGAGTCAGAGGGCTTCAGGACCCCAGGCGGGGGCGGGAGGAGGGAGGGCCGGACTCCTGCCGTGCTCCTGCCCCGCCTCGGATCTTGAAAGCCTTTGATTTTTTTGTGTTTGGGAGGAGCAGGAGGAGCAGGAGGAGGAGGAGGAGGAGGAAGGAGGAGTGAGGAGGAGGAGGAGGAGGAGGAGGAGGAGGAGGGGAGGAGGAGGAGGAGGAGGAGGAGGAGGAGAGAGGAGGAGGAGGAGGAGGAGGAGGGAGGAGGAGGAAGAGGAGGAGGAGGAGGAGGAGGAGGAGGAGGAGAGGAGGAGGAGGAGGAGGAGGAGGAGGAGAGGAGGAGGAGGAGGAGGAGGAGGAGGAGGCGGAGGAGGAGGAGGAGGAGGGAGGAGGAGGCGGAGGAGGAGGAGGACGGGGGCGGCATTGGATCAAGAACGTCTTCTTGGGGCCCAGATCCTGGCGCATTCGTTATTGTTTCAGTGCGAGGTGAGTGGCCGACGTTTGGACGCCCATCGGTCGCACACACATGACACAGGGTGCTGATAAAGACAGAGAGGTGATTGAGGAGTGTCTGTGAGACCCTGGGTCCCTTATCAAAGGCACCCTTATTTGAAACCTCCACCGTGGTCTCACAGGTTGTCGGGTTTTTCCCCTTGATTGTTTTTCTGTTTGGCTCGGTAGTCACACAGGCTTCGTGGCCGGACGTTAAGGACACCTGCGAGACTACCAGAACAAAGCGTGTAAGACCAACGAGAACAAACGAGCACCAAAGGTTTTCCACATCCGAGGCGGGGGAGCCCGGCAGGAGTCCGGCCCTCCCTCCCCCCACCTTCCCGCCTCGGATCCCGAAAGTTGTTGATGTACACCTTAGGCGATGCTTAAGAAAACCTAAGTTTTCGGCCAGAGTCTCGATTATTCTTAACGTTTCAATGTAAATCCTAAGATTTGAATGGAAGTTGTGGGTTTTTATTCAAGTTCTGAGACTATGAATTTCTTAACCCATGATTTCTAAAGCATTTCGCAGGGTGTATGGGTGTTCTAGATCGTCTCGCAGGTTTCGTTGTTTGTTTTTTGCTTGTCTTGTTTCTTTGGTAGACTCACAGGTTTCGTGGCCCAACATTAAGGAAGCCTGCCACTGCCATTGAAAAACCAGTCGAGTCCACTGGGGAACCAATAATCCTAGTGATTTTCAACGAAAAATTTCGAGCGAAGGAGATGGCCCCCTCATCCTCCACCCCTGTCTCTCGCTATTTCTCTCTCTCTCTCTCTCTCTTTCTCTCTTTCTCTTTCTATGTCTCTTTATTTCTTTGTCGTTTTATGTTTGCTGGTTTTATCTCTCTCTCTCTCTTTCTCCCTGTTGTCTCTCTCTCTCTATTTCGCTTGTTTCTCTCTCGCTATTTCTCTTTGTCTTTCTCTCTCTCTCTCTGGCTCTCTCTCTCTCTCTCTCTCTCTCTCTCTCTCTCTCTCTCTTTATATATATATATATATATATCCTTTTTCTCTATGTCAGCGATAAAACATGAATAGGAACCGGTTGGGATTATTAGGAATCAGTAGGGATCCGTCGGATTCAATAGGAACCATTAAAAATCAATAAAAACCAATGGACACGATTAGGAATCACAGGAAATCATTTAGAATCCATAAGAATCAATCGGAACCGATAGGAATCAAGTAGAATTTAGAGGAATCGATTAGAACCAGTAGGAATCAACAGAAATCAACATGACGCAATAGGAAAACAAAATATTTGGAATCCATGGGATTTTATAGGGACCAGTAAAAATGGATAGCAACCAATAGGAATCCCTATCAACTCATTAGGACCACGTGTAACCAATAGGAACCAATCGAAATCGGCAGGAATCAGTAGTTATCAACCGGAATCAATCAGAATCAGCGAGAAGCAGTAGGAATCGTCAAACCAGTGGGACCCAACGTCTTGGAGCATGGGGGCGGGGGGGCTCCCATGCTGCCACGGCGTGCGCAGTGCGCTCGCGGACGCTCAGTCGTACGCTTAAGTCGGGTACGTCCCTCTACCAGGAGGAGTGTTCAAAAATAGTCAAACCATATCAGGGGACGATGTTTGATTATTTTTTATTTGCGGGCGCAGTCCGTAATTTGATGTTCGGGAGGTAGACAGAATTGACGGACAGAACTCTACTGCACCACCAAAGCCGTCAGATGGCAGTTGTACTTCCAGGGGTGAGGATATCTCGCTGGCAGTTTTAAGCCAGGGGGGGAAGGATATCTCGCTGGCAGCTTTAAGCGATAGGATGAAGATATTTCGCTGGCAGTTTTAGGCCAGGTGGGTGAGGATATCTCGCTGGCAGTTTTAAGCGAGGGGTGTGAGGGTGTTGCGCTGGCAGTTTCAAGCGAGGGGTGTGAGGATATTTCGCTGGCAGTGTTCGGACATGGGGGTGGGGATATTTCGCTGAGGGGTGCGAGGGTTTTCGCTGGCAGTGTTATTTGAGCTAGCGCGGTGAGGAGATTTCGCTGGCATTTGCAGGCCAGGTGGTGGGCATATGCCACTACGGGTGTGAGGATATTCTAGACGCTTCGTGTATTACCACCAGCCCATCTCAGTTGTGGAAGGTTCTTTTGTCAGCATGCTCCACACTTCGGATGCGCGTTCTGGCGTCGCGACTTGGTGTCGCCGTCTGGATCCCGCTGGACTTATGTCCCCAGTCAGTCTGTACTACCCGTCAGGCTTCTGGATCGACGTCCTCGGGAACGTTCCTTTCGTTCGCACCTGGACTTGGGGAACGCCTCACGCGCCATTTTGGCTGCGCTTGGTCTCCTCGGTGCCTGTCCTCAGGCTCGTTGGATGCACCGTTGCATGCCCGTCCAGGGGCTGTCTCAGGCTCCCTGGATTGCATCGGCTCTGCCGCCCTGGACGCTGCCGTCCGCCGCCTGATCCGCGGCCCCGCGCGCGTTAGGCAATTTAGTCGCGGCCGTAGCCCGCCCGCGACCTCCCGCCGCTGGCGCTTCCGCCTGCGGCTGTAAGAAAAAAGTATTACCACCAGCCCATCTAGAAACGATGCCCAGGCGAGTTGAGGTGATCAGGGAAGTGCCGGAGCAAAGAGGGGGACGGCCGAACCGTGCGAAGGAAGGAGGAGGAGAAGGAGGAGGTTGGATGGACGGATGAGGGAGTGGGGAGAAGGAAGATGAATAGGATGAGGAGGAGGAGGAGGAGGATCAGGAAGAGTTGGAGGAGTAGGAGGATGAGGAGGAGGAGGAGGAGCAGGAGGGGGAGGAAGAGAAGTAGGAGGCGGAAGGAGAAGCAGGAGGAGGAGGGCAAGCAAAAGGGCCAGAGGTCTCTCGGATGCCGTTCCGAGCCTCTTGGGATATATCTTGAGCGCTTCTTGGTGGCCACTTGGGACGTCTTGGGGGTCGCTTGGCGGTCCTGCGGGGCACTTGGGCGTCTTGGGTGCCTCGGGGGGTCCTCTTGGGGCCGCTTGGGGTCCTCTTGGGGGCTTCCGGGGGGCCTCTTCGTAGCCATTTTGGCTCAAGATCCCAACCCGGTTGGGAGCTTGCCGTGGCCATCGGCTCAGTGGCGCCGCCCGCGGCTTCTTCCTCTCGGGCGCGCGGTGGGGCGGGGCGCGGCGCGCGGTCCTCTCCCCCTCGCCTCCTCCTCCTCCTCCTCCTCCTCCTCCTCCTCCTCCTCCTCCTCCTCCTCCTTCTCCTCCTCCTGCCCCCCTCGCCTCTATGGCCCTTCGGAAGGCGGCTGCTGGAGAAGCTGCTGCAGAGCCGCTGTGCAGGGGGGCCGCCCCGTGGCCGTCGCGCGCGGCATCGGGGGAGTGCGTTGGCGCGGCGGGGCGGGAGCTCCTCGAGCGCGTTCGCTGGCCTCTGTACACTCCAGGCGATGCTTAAGAAAACCCAAGTGTTCGGCCAGAGTCTCGATTATTCTTCATGCTTCAATGTAAATCCTAGCATTTGAGTAGACATTCTGGGTTTGATTTCAAATTCTGAGACTATGAATTTCTTAACCCATGATTTCTAAAGCATTTCGCAGGGTGTACACATCATGCGGGGCGCTCGGATGACTTGGCTCCTCTGTAGCTCTCTCGGCTCAAGCACGCTCAGCCGCTGCGGGGTGGACCGCGTGCGGAGGTCCCCGCGGGAGTGGCGCAGGCGGACGCGACGCGGGAGGAGCAGGGACACGCCTTGCGACGAGAGGCCGAGCCGGTCGCCCACCCAGGCTGCGCTGGGAAGGGCTGTGCGGTGCCTGCTCACGGGTCGCAGCATGGAGAGCAGCAGCGAGTTGGACGGAGGCGGGGCGGGGGACCATGCTGTCCCGTTCGCGCCTGGAGGATGGCGCAGGCCGAGGCGCTGTGCCAGGGTGCGGCAGCAGCGCAGCGGCGTGCGCCCCCGAGGGCGGCGCGCTCGCGTCGAAGCGCTCAGCGAGAGCGACGATGACGGCGAAAACGCGGGGGAGGCGTCAGACAAGGGCTGCGTCGAGGCTCTTCCGCGGTTCCTAGGCCGTCAGCGACAGTGTCGACGAGTGGAAAGTGAAGGACAGCGAAAGCGGCGGCAAGGGCAAGGCCGTGACCGCCGACGGCGACGAGGACTCGGTGCTCCGTGAGGTCATGGCCCTGGCCAGGGAGGAGCGGTTGGAGGTCGAGCGGGCCGGGAGGGCTGGCACGCTGCGCGCTGAGGGCCCCCAGGGGTCGCTCGAGGTGCGGATCGGCCAAGATGAGTCGAACGAGGGCGACGCCGAGCAGGAGGGCTCAGGCTGCGGCGAGCCCCGCGTGGACGACGGCCGGGCGAGCGGCGAGCTGCTCGTGCAGCAGGCTTGGAGGTGAAGGCCGAGTGCGAGGAGGTGGTCGAGGAGTTGCCCATGGTGGAGGAGGATTCCGCGGGGGCCGCCCGCACTCGAGCCCGGCGGGCGCCCCCAGCCGCGGCGCGCGGCCAGGGCGGACAGGCGGAGGCGCAAGAGGGCCGAGAAGACTTAGGCAAAGGTGCAGCAGAGCCTCGGCCAGCAGGCCTTGGCGGACGCGGCCGAGGCGCGGCGGCGCGCGGCGGCCGAGCGCGCGCTGGCGGAGAGCGAGCAGCGCGAGCTCCAGGCGCAGCTCGTGGAGATCCGGGCGCGCAGTCGGGCGCTGGAGGCTGAACGGGCGGTGAGCGCAGCGGTCGCCGCGGATCTCCAGGACAGCATCGCAGCCGACGCGGCGCGACCTGGCGGAGTTCACGTCGCTGGGCGCGTGAGCAGCAGCGCTGGCCGAGGCAACTGGCGCGCCGCCCAATCGGCATGGGGCCCTGCGGGCCGAGTCGGCGCGGGGCGCCTGCCGGAGGGCAGGGGGCTCCTAAGGGGGGAGCAGGCGGGGCGCTGCTGGCCGCGGCGCGAGGCGGCCCCTGCCTCGGCCTGGCGTGGCGCGCCGGGCCGTCGTGCTGGACTTCGTCGGCACGGGCGCGTCGGGGCTGCGGAACGACGCGGGGAGCGCAGGGCGGGACCCGCCTGCACCTCGAAGGGATAACAAAAAACCTCTTGGGGGCCTCTTGGGGCCATTTGGGGGCCATCTTGGGGCCTCCTGGGCGCTTCTCGGGGCCATCCTGGAGGACGTCGATCAAAGAAGGGGTGTTCCCCAGGTACGGTTGCCCCCCCCAAGAGGTCAAGATGGGGCCAAAACTCTGGTAAAACAGATGATTTGGGCTTCCTGGCCGAGGCCGTTTTGGACGCCCTGACACCGCGCGACCAGCCCCGTCCAGATCCAGGCGAGGGGGCGGGGGGATGGGTTGGAAGAGTGAACACTCTAGACCACCTACGCCCAGAGGGCTGGTGGGATTTCGCACGTCAGGGGGTGAGGATATTTGGCTGGCAGTTCTAGGCCCAGGCAATTGGAGATATTTCGCTGGCAGTTTTCAGCTTAGGTGGTGAGGATAGTTAGCTGGCAGTGTTGGGCCGGGGGCGGTGAGGATATTCCGCTGGCAGTTTCAAGCGAGGGGTGTGAGGATGTGTCGCGTGCAGATTCAAGCGAGGGTGCGAGGACATGTCGGTGGCAGTTTTAAGGCCGGGCGGTAAGGATATGTCCCCAACATAACCAAGCAGCACCATGTGCCACGCACGGGACGACGGGGGGATATGGGTGAAAGGGAGGACGGAGCACGACGACGAAGAGAAGGTGGCGAAAGGGGGGGTCGGAGGTAGGGAGTGGGAGGAGTCGTGATCGATGCGGGCATCCACGCGCCACGCAATGCAGTGTTGGGTCTTGCCCTGCCTGGCCCGGCCGAAGGCTACGCATGCAGCGCGGTGCTGCGCCCGCATTATATATATATTTATAAATATGTATGCTCGCCCCTTTGGCGCGGGGCGGGCGGAGGGCCGAGGGGCGAGCTGTCTGGTGTTTATGTTTGAGCAGTGTTTGACTATGTTTTACAGTCGGCCCAGATCAGGAGGTCGGCCCTGCCAAGCTAAAAGGTGCTCTTGTGTCCTGCGTGTGTTCGCGACGTATGCCTTCCACATCATCGTGGCAGTGTGGCCCTCGGAAGGGTCTCGTGCCCTCTCCGCGTGCCCTCTCCTCCTCCTCCTCCTCCTCCTCCTCCTCCTCCTCCTCCTCCTCCTCCTCCTCCTCCTCCTCCTCCTCCTCCTCCTCCTCCTCCTCCTCCTCCTCCTCCTCCTCCTCCTCCTCTCGTGGCCATCCCGATGGTCACTGTCGCCCAGAAAATCCGCCCGTGGGAGAGGACGTGCCCGACCGAGCCTCGGCCCTGCGCCGCGCGCGCAACGCGCCGCGCGCCGCCGAGGTCCAGGAGCTGTGCGGGCGACCTGCGCAGGCGGCGGGGGTGGCGGGCCGGGGGCAGCGACAGGGGGGGGCTCGGCATGGCTCGGACGTGTGCACTTCTCTCAGGAGAGGAAAAACACACAGACACAATTAATCCTCGATTCCTCAGAAAATATGGGATAATATAGGAAGTGGGGGGGAAGACAGAAACCCAGAAAATATGCGAAAATATGGGGAATATGTTTATTTGTGTGTATTTATTTGTATGTCCTGGGGCCCCTTCATTCTCCTTCGGCGAGGACAATCGAGGAGCCTCCTTGGTCATTCGGCCGCACGAAATCGAACAAAAAAGGGGAATGGACGTCCGAGCGATGGCCAGGGGGGGGGGATAGGCACACAGGGGGGGGGACGCACTCCTTCGGCGAGGACAATCGAGGAGCCTCCTTGATCATTCGGCCGCACGAAATCGAAAAAAAGGGAATGGACGTCCGAGCGATGGCCAGGGGGGGGGGATAGGCACACAGGGGGGGGGGACGCATCGGCTCCCAATCGCCCACCGATCGCCGAGAGGGGCCCGACAGCCCCAGCCTGCCCGGGAGGGCGCGGAGTCACTGTCGGAGGCCCGTCGCCGAGCTGTGGGCGATGCATCGCCGATCCCACGTCGATGCATCCCCACCCCCATGACAGGTCCCCCCGATCGTTGCCCCTCCGTGTGGGGGGGGGGGGGGGGGAAAACACACAGACACAATTAATCGGCGATTCCCAGAAAATATGGGAAAATATGGGAAGTGGGGGGGAAGACAAAAAACCCGAAAATACGGGAAAATATGGGGGATATGTTTATTTGTGTGTATTTATTTGTGTGTCCCAGTTCCCCTTCAGTGTGGGGGGGGGCAGGGAGCGGCAGCGTTCACCTCGCAGGAGGTGGGAGGAGCGTCGGGCCGTGTCGCCTCGCTGCCAGTTGTCGCGAGCAGCGGGTTCGGAACGCGACCAAGAAGCGCCGAGGGGGGCCGCCGTGGTGGTTGAGCGAGGGCAGTGAACGATACACCACGTGCGTGCTACATGGTCGAGCTATGGCACCTAGCCCATGCACGCGATATGCTGAGATGTAGCAGCGCACATCTGGCGACCGCATGAAGCACTTGGGCAACCTGCCCGTAGCAGCACTGCCGCCATGAGGCTCACGCACCATGCGCACACCAGAAAGACATGACAAGCGCAACAGGCACAAGTGATCCTCGCAGCTCCAGGGGGTCGTTGCTCGCACTCTGTCTTCTGCACCCGCCTCCCTTCCCTGTCCTCCTGCACCTCCCCCCCCTTTCTCTCCATCTCCTTTCCCCCCCTCCCCCGTACGTTCCCTAGAGCCCCCCCCCAAACCTCTGTCGCGAAGCTCGGCTGCCCCCTCGTATTATGCATGTTGTCCTTCCTGCTCCGCCCCCACATTCTGAGATTGCCCAACATCCTGCCACTGCCTCCTCACGGAACCGTCACGAGGCTGTCTTGGGCAGGGCTTAGCTAAGAGGTATAGAACAAAAAGAGGTGGAGGAGAGGATCAGGACGATAATGAACATAAGGCGACGGTGAGCATGAGAGCAAAGAGAAATTTGGGAAGCAGCAGACAAAGCACCGAAGAACGGTGTTTTACATGGCAGGAGGGAGGGGAGGAGGAGGTGGAGGAGGAGGTGGAGAAGGAGGAGGAGGAGGAGGAGGAGGAGGAGGAGAGGGAGGCAGAGGATGAGGAGGCGGAGGCGGAGGCGAAGGAGGTGGAGGACTGGGAGGAGAAAAAGAGGAGGAGGAGGAGAAGGGAGGGTGGGTGGAAGAGGAACGGAAGGAGGAAGAAGAGAGGAATATCTTTGCAGGTCACCGAGGGGGAAATTCTCGGCCTCGAGACCGGTGAGGACTTCGAATGCGACATGTTCAACCCGGGCGAAGCGAGGCCCCGCGGCCTGAGGAAGGATTCTGAACTTGCTTGCGGCGTCGGGAGAGGAAGACGAGGGCAGGGATGGGATGGGGAGGGGATGTAGCGCGGGAGGGGGGAGGGGAGGGAGCGTAGGCGGGGATGCGGCGCGGGGAGGGAAGAGAGGGAAGGCGGGGAAGGGAGGGAAGGGAGGGAGGGAGGGAGAGAGGGAGAGAAGGGTAGAGAGGGGGATGGAGGGGGACCGCGGAGTGACCAGGCGCACACCTCGTGCCTTGCGACGCGCAGCGCGAGCCAGAACAGCATGCCGAAGCCGCCGAGGCAGAGTGCGACGCGACGCGCACTCAAGCATCGACTAGATTTGGGTCGGGCCTGTCGCCCGCGGGAGCGCGCAACCGCAATCGCAACCGGGCGACACATTTCAAAGCGCCCGCGGGCGCGCAACCGCAACCGCAACCGGGCGACACATTTCAAAGCGCCCGCGGGAGCGCGCGCAACCGCAACCGCAACCGGGCGACACATTCAAAGCGCCCGCCGCGCAACCGCAACCGCAACCGGGCGACACAAAGCGCCCGCGGGAGCGCGCAACCGCAACCGCAACCGGCGACACATTTTCAAAGCGCCCGCGGCGCGCAACCGCAACCGCAACCGGGCGACACATTTCAAAGCGCCCGCGGGAGCGCAACCGCAACCGCAACCGCAACCGGGCGACACATGTCAAAGCGCCCGCGGAAGCGCGCAACCGCAACCGCAACCGGGCGACACATTTCAAAGCGCCGCGGGAGCGCGCAACCGCAACCGCAACCGGGCGACACATTTCAAAGCGCCCGCGGGAGCGCGCAACCGCAACCGCAACCGGGCGACACATTTCAAAGCGCCCGCGGGAGCGCGCAAACCGCAACCGCAACCGGGCGACACATTTCAAAGCGCCCGCGGGAGCGCGCAACCGCAACCGCAACCGCAACCGGGCGACACATTTCAAAGCGCCCGCGGGCGCGCAACCGCAAGCGCAACCGGGCGACACATTTCAAAGCGCCCGCAAGCGCGCAACCGCAACCGCAACCGCAACCGGGCGACACATTTCAAAGCGCCCGCGGGCGCGCAAACCGCAACCGCAACCGGCGACACATTTCAAAGGCCTGGCGGGCCGCGCAACCGCAACCGCAACGGGCTCACATTCAAAGCGCCCGCGGGCGCGCAAAAACAAAAACGCAACCGGGCGACACATTTCAAAGCGCCGCGGGAGCGCGCAACCGCAACCGGGCGACACATTTCAAAGCGCCCGCAAACCGGGCAATGGGCGACACATTTCAAAGCGCCCGGGAGCGCGCAACCGCAACCGCAAACCGCAACCGGGCGACACATTCAAAGCGCCCGCGGGCGCGCAACCGCAACCCCGGGCGACACATTTCAAAAGCGCCCGCGGGAGCGCGCAACCGCAACCGCAACCGCAACCGGGCGACACATTTCAAAGCGCCCGCGGGAGCGCGCAACCGCAACCGCAACCGCAACCGGGCGACACATTTCACAGCGCCCGCGGGCGCAACCGCAACCGCGACCAGGCGACAAATTTCAACCCGCCCGCGGGAGGGCGCAACCGCAACCGCAACCGCAACCGGGCGACACATTTCAAAGCGCCCGCGGGCGCAACCGCAACCGCAAGCGGGCGACACATTTCACCCCGCCCGCGGGAGGGCGCAACCGCAACCGCAACCGCAACCGGGCGACACATTTCAACCCGCCCGCGGGAGGGCGCAACCGCAACCGCAACCGGGCGACACATTTCAAAGCGCCCGCGGGAGGGCGCACCCGCAGGGTTTCAAGGGGGTCGATTGCGCGTGCACTTGTGCGTAAGCTGCCCGCGGAAGGTGGCGCGTAGGCGCCTTAATGCGGTCTGCCGCGCGAGCGGCTTGCGTGATCCACCGCGCAAGGTCGTCGCGCAATCGAGTGCAACCCCCCTTCTGATCGTTTCTCCCTGGGGGGTCAGGCGAGTGGAATTGCCTCAGCCACATCTCGGCCACGCTCGTGGGACTGCCCCCCGCAGGGTTTCAAGGGGGTCGATTGCGCGGGCACTCGCGCGCATGCCGCCCTCGTAAGGTCGCGCGTAGGCGCTGTTACGGTGACGCGGTCTGCCGCGCGAGCGGCCTGCGTGAGCCACCGCGCAAGGTCGTCGCGCATTCGAGTGCAACCCCCCTTCTGATCGTTTCTCCCGGGGGGGTTCAGGCGAGTGGAGTTGCCTCAGCCACATTTCGGCCACGCTCGTGGGACTGCCCCCCGCAGGGTTTCAAGGGGGTCGATTGGGGGCGGGGGACGACAAGGAGAAGAAGGAGGAGCCACTGGCGGAGGGCCCGACGACGAGCCCCCGCGTGGCCCGCGGGTCTCCGCCGGGACATTGCAGCGGGGAATCCCTATTCCACGCTGCTGCGCTTGATTTAAATTTTCGTCCCAAATCCGCCTGTAGGGGGACAGGTCCGACCTAAGACTAGATGCCGAGACCTGTGTGCCCCCCAGGCAGGTGCTGGTAACCAGCACCAGTCGCACGCAGCAGCTGGCCGGCACGCACGGTGACAAGGGTCACGCGAGATACACGCGTCAGAGATGGGTCTGTCGAGAGGGGCGTTGCGTCTCACCCACCGCGAGCAGCCGCGAGTGGCGCCCAAGAGACGGCCCCTGCCGCCTGAGCGAGCTGGTGGTAGCAGCGGGACCGCCGCAGGGGGTGCCGCGGTCGCCGGAGCCAGCCAGGGTGAACGGCAGGACCAGCGCCTCTTCCTCGAGCCGTCGGCGGGGGATGTCCCAGCGTGAAGCCGGGCATGCCCCGCTGCCGGAGGAAAAGTTCCAGAGCAGTCAAAAGATAGTTTGGAGGCGACTTGTGGAGTTTGTTTGGCTACTGTTTGATTGGTTATGTTTTTGTTTCATTCTTCCTCCAAGGTGCGCCGGTAGGAGAACATGCCCGACCTAATCCTAGCGGCGATCGAACGCCATCTCACTGCTGACAGCTTGTTGAATATCAGATTCCGGTGCGCCGCCGTGAGGCACTTGCCGAGACAAGATGCTCTTGGCGTCGTTCCTCATCTTCTGCACAAGTGCGAGCCCCTCCATGATGCGAGCCCCCTTCTGCTTCAGTGCCGTCTCTCAGCGGCCCAACTCTTCCTCGGGCATACCCTGGTCCCAGTCTGGGTGGACAGTCGCGCGCAACCATGTCCTCGGATGGAGGGGTCACCAGCATTGCCTGTGCGCTGGCCTCAACCTGCGTCGCGTTGAGCTTTGGCGCGGCCGACTCGCTGCTCTCGGCCCCCTCGGCACTCGGTGACGCCACAGCCTCGACACGGGAAGCGACGATGTATTGGCCGTGGCCGTCGCCTTGAGCATCAACTTCTTCTCCTGGAGCACTGCCTCCTTCAGCTTAGCGTCCTCCACCTCCTCTGCGAGGGCCTGCGCGAGATGCCGGCCTCGCGGCCGGCAGGGGGGCGGCCCACGCCGTCGCGACCCGTGCTAAGCTTGCCGAGCTTGGACGCCAGAGCCGCCCTGGCCAAGTGCGGCAGATGCTGCTTGGCCTCAGGGACGGACGACGTGGCCTCCATCCCTGCCCCCGCCCTCGCGGCAAGAGGGGCCTCGCACGTCCGGAGCAGAGCCCGCATCCAACGCCTCCGCGCGCGCTGCCGGCGCGACTGGCACGCCCTGCAATGCGGCACGCGCCGCCGCTGCGGTCGGGGGAACGGAAGACTCGAGTAAGCTAGAGCTCGAGCGCGCCTACGTTTTTTGACGAGCCCGCCCGGGATTTTCGCGGTCCGGTGTTCGTGGGATGTCTGCAGCGAGATCTCGCGTTGAATTTCAGACTGGGTCCCATCATTTTCACGATGGCCTCGACAGGCCAACCCGAGTCCCCCGAACCCGAGTCTTACGTCTCCCCGATGCTACTTAGCTACCCATGGCCCTGGCCGACAAGCCCAGCTCCATCCCATCCTGGCCCGCTCCGAGGACTGCCTGCGCAATGGAGGCCCGAAGGAGAGCCATGCCGAACATGCGCGGGACATGATGCAAGCAGATCCCAAAGTGAGGGTGAAGTCGCGCCCTGTCTCAATGCCTAATGGCTTGAGCTAGAACGACTACGGAAGGGAGAGGGACGGAGGGAAGGAGGGAAGGAGAGGAAGAGGAGAAGGAGGAGGAGAAGGAGGAGGAGAAGGGGAGAAGGCGAGTGTCCTCATGTTTACCGTATGTGGCTTCTTGGCACCAGTTGTTGCAGCAGTATCCGTGGGTCCCAATGTGAGGACGCTCTTGTCCAGCAGCACTCGTCCGTCCAGAACTTAGGGTTGATACGACTCCATCGGCCTCTGAGTTCTGTGCTTTCTGGGCAGGGTGGGCAATGCTCTCCCTGACTTATCGTGGTATCGAAGGAGGAAGGCAGGGGAAGGAGGGGGAAGAAGAAGTCACTGCTCCATCCCATCTTGGGCAGATTCAGGGTCCTCTGGGGCCGTTTCGGAGCTTTGTTGGCAGCCCCTGGGGCCGCTTTGGTGCTCTCTGGCGCCGCAAGGACTGGGGGGGGGGCCTACCGACCCAAAAAGCGCACTACATTTATTTGAACGGAGAAGTGTGCACGCAACGCAGATAGATCCCACTGTGATACTACAGTCAAGCTCTCCGACACGCTCAAAAATTGCACGACGCAAGTCCCGACTGGCCTGGACCAGTCGCGGGCGCCCCGAGGGAGGGCACAAGACGGCCCAAAGGAGGCCCACAAGGACCCCAAGATGACTCCAAGAACCCCCACGATGCCCACTCTGGATGGGGCAATAATCGCCCCCCCCCTTGGATCCGCGGGGGGGTTGGGCACGTGCCGTCGCCACGGGTGGAGGGGGGGTGGAGGAGGAGGAGGAGGCGGATGGAGGGGGGGCGGGATTGGGCAGCTCAGTCGGAAGGTTCATCGCCCCCCACCTTGATAGATATCCCAGCCAGAGTATTCTCGCCCCAGCCTCTTCCTCCTCCTCCTCCTCCTCCTCCCCTCCTCCTCCTCCTCCTCCTCCTCCTCCTCCTCCTCCTCCTCCTCGCTCCTCGCCCACGAGGCCCAAATCCCACCCCGGCCCCCCGGAGCCCCGCGTAGCCGCTCCGCCGCGGCGCGAGGCCGGTGGAGGACCAGATGCAGACCGTGCCCCCGCAGCACGGGCGCGGCCCAAGTGCGCCGACGGATCGAGGAGGAGGAGGAGGAGGAGGAGGAGGAGGAGGAGGAGGAGGAGGAGGAGGAGGAGAGGGGGAGGGGAGGAGGAGGAGGAGGGGAAGAGGAGGAGGAGGAGGAGGAGGAAGCGGAGGAGGAAGCGGAGGAGGAAGAGGAGGAGGAGGAGGAGGAGGAGGAGGAGGAGGCTGAACGCTCGAGCGGGCACAAGTGGTCGACGTCGGCGCTGCGCGGAGGGGCGGGAGCGGGAAGCGCGGGCGGCACGGGAACCAAGGCAGGGCTCGTTTCGATTCCTCCGGTCCGATCCGATGCGGCTTCGATGGCTTCCGATTCGGCTTCCATTCGGCTTCGGATTCCGATCTGGATTCCGATCTCCCTACTAGCCTGCCGATTTCTGCCGATTCGAATTCTTCTCCCGACTCGGCTGTCGGTTTTCGCCGGTCCGACTCATTTCGATCGCTGATCCGACTTGTCGATTCGATTCTGGGCTCTCCTGGCGGCCTGGGAACCAAGAGGACAGAGCCTCACCCTGCTCTTCTCTTCTGTTTGGATTTCGGTATCATCTTTCCCCGGATCCTGTCCGAGCGGGGGGTGCTCCTTTTCTCCCGCATGTTTGCTGAAGCACGTTGGAGTTCAAGAGGTGGTGTACGACATTGTTTCTGTCGATCGAGACGTTTTCGGGGTTTCAAAACAGTATTCCCGCTGCAACGTTGGCCTCATGTCCTCATCGACGGTTTGCCCCCGTCGTTCAAGGTGGCGTTCTGGCCGCAGCGAGGGCCAATATTTTCTGGATCCAAGTCTTTCCTCATCGTGGTCGACCCGCTCCTTCCCCCTCCTCCGCCTTCCCCAGATCCTGCTCGTCCCGCTCCTATTCCTGTTCCTGCTCCTGCTGTTCATCTTCATCCTCTTCCTCCTGCTCATTCGCGCCACCTCCTCCGCCTCCTCCTCCTCCTCCGCCTCCTCCTCCTCCTCCTCCTCCTCCTCCTCCTCGCTCCTCCTCCTCCTCCTCCTCCTCCTCCTCCTCCTCCTCCTCCCCTCCTCCACTCCTCCTCCTCCTCTCCTCCTCCTCCCCCTCCTCCTTCCTCCTCCTCCTCCTCCTCGCTCCCTCCTCGCTCCTCCTCGCTCCTCCTCTCCTCCTCCTCCTCCTCCTCCTCCTCCTCTTCCTCCTCCTCTTCCTCCTCCTCTTCCTCCTCCTCCTCCTCCTCCTCCTCCTCCTCCCTCCTCGCTCCTCCCTCCTCCTCCTCCTCCTCCTCCTCCTCCTCCTCCTCCTCCTCCTCCTCCTCCTCCTCCTCCTCCTCCTCCTCCTCCTCCTCCTCCTCTTCCTCCAACGCACACAGCTCCCATTTTCGAATTGCGCATAACGCGATGGGTCCGTTTGGGGATCCCAGGTCCGTTGTGACACCCGTCGGCGGGTATAGAAATTCAGCGCAACGGTAAGAGATGGGCGGGATGGGTAGGATATCAGATACGGCGCGAGCGCACGCAGCTTGCCCTCTCCCCCTCTCCTTCTCCCCCACTCGCCCTCCGCCGCTTCCGGCTGCTCCGTAGCCGTTCCAGGTCGCGCCAAGCAGGCATGGCAGGTGACTCCTTGAGAGGCGCGGGGGCAACATAGCTGGCAGCAGACACCCTGGTGCAGAAGTCCGTAGAGCAGGGGCCAGACCACAAGAACCATTCCGCAAGAAACCCAACCCTGAGACCCCAGGACGTCCATTGATGTTTGGTGTGGGAACGTCACGCTCTCCATAGCAAAACCATCAAAACCCAAGAAACCCAGAGCACCCAGGAGGCAAGCAGGGTGTGTCTTGGCATGGGTCTCGACTGCACCTGCAGGAGGCGACCCGGTGAGGCTCGGATTTCACCGTGGGCGTCGGTCTGCACTGGTGAGGCCGCAGGCCACCAAGCCGCTCGCGAGCCCCGCGGTGCTGCGTCGGTGGTGCGTCGACGCGGCGGCGACCACGGCACCGACGTTCAAGATTGGGAGGAGGAGAAGGAGGAGGAGGAGGAGGAGGAGGAGGAGGAGCGAGGAGCGAGGAGGAGGAGGAGGAGGAGGAGGAGGAGGAGGAGCGAGAGGAGCGAGGAGCGAGGAGGAGGAGGAGGAGGAGGAGGAGGCGCCACCGGGATTGAGCGCCATCGGTGGCCTGGAATCGACCGATGTCGAGCGATCTGCACCATCGGAGAGCCGCGACCGCTCCTCCTCCTCCCCTCCTCTCCTCCTCTCCTCCTCCTCCTCCTCCTCCTCCTCCTCCTCCTCCTCCTCCTCCTCCTCCTCCTCCTCCTCTCCGTAGCCATTTTGGCTCAAGGCTCATGCTGTTGCGGGCTGAGCCCGTATTGGCTTTCACGGATACCGCTAGTCCGCGGCAGTGCCAGAGCGTTTACGCTCGACAGTTTCTTTCGCCTTCACCGAGGGGTTGGGCTCCCTCACCCAGTTTCGTCGCCACGACTAGGCCGTGCGCTGGTCGGTGGCTAGTGTTCCTCTTGTGCTGCTCGGCGCAATGGGACCCAAGCAGCGTGTCGAGAACGCGCAGCCTTGGAAGTGCAAGTGGTGTGTGCACAAGCCCACTGGGACAGCCTGGATCAATCGTGTTGATCACAAGTGGTGTGCGCTTTGCAACTTGCCCAAGGGATCGGCGTTTGGAGGAGTGCCGCAGCCCAAGGTCCCAGTGGTGCGCAGCCCTGCGTTGCAGTCTCAGCGTGAAGGTGCCCTGGCGCGTCAGCTTGCCGACCTTCAACGCCAGTTGCAGCAGTTGCAGCAGCCCTCAGCCGACACTGGCGCCACATCTGCTCCAGTTCCGCCCTGGGCCACAGACGCCAGTCCTCAGGCTGCACGGCGAGCACGGCTGGCTGAGATTGGCAACATTCTCAAGTCGCTGGGGACCGCCGATGCCGAGTACCGTGCCAAGCTGCTGGCGGAGCGCACGTCCCTGCAGGAGCAACTGCAGTCCGAGAAGCCACTCGAGAGCAACGTCAGTGCCCAGAATCGGAAGGTCACCGAAGCTCGTAAGAAGAAGGCCAACTGTGCTGCCAAGGTCCAGGCAGCAAGGGATGCAGTCGAGAAGGCCAAGGAGGCCCTGGCCAAGGCCGAGGCCGCCGAGACCGAGGCGGCCACCAACCTACTATCCCTGGAGAATGAGCTTCGGGAAATTGTGGCGCGTGGGCTTCCCGTCGGTGGTGATGCAAAGCCACCAACGCTCAGCACGGTCATCCCTGGCCTCAAGTCAACCGTGTCTCAGCTGGGTGAAGTGCTGCAATCTCTCGGTGGCTCTGAGCGTTTCGCTGCTGGCATGCAAGCAATGGCGGAAATGGTCGCTAAGTTGGAGCAGGAACCAGCAGCAGCGCAACAGCCACCACCTCCTGCAGCTGAGCCCGATGACCAGGCCGAAGAAGATGTTGAGGAGATGGCTGTCGATCAAGAAGAAGAAGCTCACAAGCACATCGACGAGATGGACGCGCCCACTTGTCGGGAGCACCTTCGCAGCTGCGGGCTGGAGGTACCCGCGCCTGGCGGCGTGGATGATGATGATGAAGCTCCTGTGCTGCGTGATCGCCTCAAGAGGCACTTCGCCAACGCCCAGAGCCTCGCCAAGAAGCTCAAGGCCACCGCGAAGTGAGCGCCTGAGTTCCCATCTTGTTGCTGTGTCCATCCTACTTTGTCTTGCAATGATGACGGCTCAACACACCAACCTAGACGACTCGGACGTCGACCCGTTTCAGGACATCGACGACCCTGGTCCCGCTCTTTCGGGACACCTATGCATATCGGGGATGGATGGCGTATTACCTACGAGTGCGACGCCTACAGCGCCTGCGGCAGCAGGCGTTCCATCTGCTTCGTCTTCTTTGTCGAGTTCGACGGGCTGCGGGCCCCCTGCGAAGGCTGCCCCCCGCCATGTGTGTGAACCCTCGGTAGGCTGGTGTTCTGCTTCGGCAGTGGGCCAGGACCGCCGCGCGAGTTCTCTGGGCTTGGGATCGGCTGGAGGGGAGCCCGCGTGTACCTCTTCGACCTCGGCCACGCGCGGACCTACGAGTACCGCGTCCTCGTCCAAACCTTTTGCCGCATCAAGTTCGAAATCTAGCAGGCACATGCCGCGCATCGTCTCGCTCAACGGCAGCTCTTTCGGGCCCATCGTCGACTACGCGGCGCAGGCTGAGTGCTCGGTCATGGCCGTCCAGGAGACGCATGTCGACCAGGAGCACTTGGCTGACAAGCAGCATGCCATGCTCGACGCGGGCTGGAGAGGCCTGTGGGCACCCGCCATACGCAGTGATAGCGGCGCTGGCACTACAGGTGGCGTCGCCGTGTTGGTTCCGTCGCACATCACGGCCACGGCCCCGCCGCAGCGCGACAGCCACATATTGATTCCAGGACGCGCAGTGGCCTGCCACGTTAGATGGGGACTGCCAGGAGGACTCGTGGTCATCTCGGCGTACCTCAAGGATGGCGAGGGACTCGGTGCGGCCAACTGCTCGCATGTTTGGACCCTCGTGCAATACGTGTGCGGGCTGAACGCGATCCAGGTGCCCTGGATCATTTGCGCGGACTGGAACATGGAGATTGACGAGCTCAACAAGTCAGGCTGGTTGGAGGCAGTGAGTGCCCTCGCATATGTATCCGCCCTGCCCAGCTGCAGGCACTCTCAGCCTGGCTCTTTTATTGATTTTTTCGTGGCTAGCAGCATGCTAGCGACTCGTTTGCACAAGCAGGTGTTCGTTGATGAGGAGGCCTCGACCTATCCTCACCTCCCTATCTCCATAGGCTTCGCCGCGTTTGACACCCCGATGTGGGCCAGAGTCCCCGATGAGCCCAAGCCGTTCCCTGCGGTGCCCCCTGTCGGGTGCGCGAGGCCCCCTGTGTACCCTTGGAAGGCCGTGCTTGAGGTTGCGGGCCCCAAGCTTTTGGCCCAAGGCGACCTCGCGGGGCTCTGGGACCTGGTCATCTCGGGGATTGATTTCGAGCTGTCCTCTAGGTGGGACCGCATAGAGGTCTGCTCGTCTGGTGTCTTGGGGAGAGCGGGCCC